TTTCTCTCTCGAACTCTCTGTTCTCTCTGATTCACTGGTTCTTCGTTTCATTTTAGCACTCAAACAAAAGCCCTTTTGTAGATTGATTTTGTTACAACCCATAGTAGATCTTGAGTGGTTTCATATGGTTCAATCCTTGAGTGGATGTTCGATGTACATTCAGTGGGTTTGTTGTATGCGAAATCTTGGTGTGATTTCGCCTGAGTGCCATGAACTGTGAACTGTACTCTTTTAGATTCCGGCTAATATAGTGATTTCTTCTGGTGGCGGAAGCTCAAAAGGGGATTAGGGACTCCGGTTCCGAACCTCTTGCCTTAGGGCGAAAATATTGTGTTCTTGCATTTTTTCTTTTATGTTTTCTTTCATTTTTCAGTATCTTATTTCATATTTTTGTGAAACAAAACGGCTGATTTTTCTTGAACTTATCGTAACACCCCTCATTGGAAAGATAGATGGGTAATTAGGGTGAGATCCACACAAATAATTCATTTTTACATTGAACTTATACTAAATTTTTAAGATCTCACTTGCCAATATTTTTATCCAAGCACATTGTCTAGACAAAGTGTTATTATTTTATGACATTAACTCAAAATTGAAAATTGTGGACATGTTTAAAAGTCTTTGATGACAAAATAAATTCCCTCTACTTAAACTTAGATAAATAAATGTGTCTCATCTAAGCTTTTAGACTATACGGCAATAGAAATTGTATTAGGAAAGTACTTCCCAATAAAAAAATTAATCAAAAGCATACTATTCATACGTTCATATTAGGCATTGTAGAAATTAAGGAATAGAGAAGCATTACCAGCCCCAGAATGACCAATCCGGGAATACAATATCCAAGCTCTTCCAATCTGAACAGTACCGGAACAGTGGCGGAGGCCCAGAATCCGGCTGCCGGTAGTGCTTCGCCTGAATCACCGGCCGGTCATTACAGTCAAACATGAGCTCCAAATCAGGCAATTTCCCAGGGTACCGCCTCATCAGCTGTACAATTCCCCACAATGTAAACAAAGCCCTAGTCTGAATCGATTGTCTGAATTTCTCCACGTAAATTTTCCCATCCGAAATCACCAATCTGAAATGGGCAGTTTTGCGTGCTTTTTCAACCATTTCCATTGTGATTCCCGTCTCTCTCCATGGCCTCAAATCTTCGGGAATCCATCGGAAAAATTCTGGGCATTTGGGGTTTAATGAAGAGTTTGGATTGGAGAGTTTGTATGAAGTTGGGTAGTTTTTTGGGCATGTATTGGTTTGGTTCCATATAGAGCAATCTAGAGGGAACTCGAGATTTGGATTTGATGGAGTTCTGCTAAAAATTTGGAGGGCTTTTTGAGAGGTATTGCCTGCGTATTTAGCCTGAAAAAAGGTTGAATTAGGCCACTAACCATTATTTCAAAATTTTTAGTTTAAAGAGTATTTTCAATAAATTCTTTAAACACAAAATATTTTTTTAATTTGAAGAGTCAATATTTAAAAATGAACTTCAAAAAATTGTATTTGGCTCTCCAAATTTAGAGATCCAAACTCACTTTCTATTCTTAATGTACAATTATTACATTTAATATATTACAAATTTCAATTCTCTACCATTTAAATTTTTTAAATTACTTTTGAATTGATTGGTCATTAATATATAAAAAATTATACTTCAAATAAAATATGTGTAGAAATTATTAAATGTTCATTGGAAAAAACAAAATAAAAAATCAAAGTAGACAACTTGTTGAAGTGTATAAATAAAATTATTTTCTAAATTTAAATATACTTTCTACTATACATAAGATGCTCTTTATTTAAGTATTCATTGTTAATAATACATTCATAAAATAAAATATTTTATATGTAAAGTTTGAGAGGTATTGCCCACATATTTTCCATGCATTTTGTCTAATTTTTAATTAAACATTTTTCAAAAATTCACTATTCAAAACAAATGTTTTGTCAAAAATAATGGCCATCAACCACGGACTAAATAAAAGTACATTAAATTAAAAGATATATATATATATATATATATATATATATATATATTTGGTGGAAGAGGTTTCTTGAAAGTAGAATTGTTGATGTTTATGTTCGGACATTTTTTTATGGAGAAAGTACTCCCTTCGTAAAACTAGAATGGCAAAAAAGTGTGAGTTGAGTAGGACCAAATTGGTGGTAGAGAGGCCTAGAACATCCTACATATAAGATTTTGGTTGATTTGTCTTGGCTCGGCTCATCACATTTATCTGTAACCCATCTTAGCTCATTCGATATTGTGTTGGGGCGAAATATATACTATTGTTTTAGTTTCTTTGTCTGACTTGTCTACTGATTTTCTAATTTTGGTTGTCCTTGAACAACATGTCCTACTTTGATACCAATACGGAGGCATGTAGATGGACAAAACTATTTTTCCTATTCTAAGATCTAAACTACCATAAAATTGCTACTAATTATTATTCAAACTCGAGGGATATTAAAAATACACCACTCTTTTCGAGTTTATAAATTGTTCTTGAGACTATTGACAAAAACTTGACATTTGAGATTATTAGTTATTTTATTCAATCTTCTTTAATTTAATTAATACATCAAGCATATGCTATCAAAAAGTACGTGTGAACTTGATTTTAAGCAAACGTGACAAAGTCTTGATAGTAGTGTAGTCTTTTAAAAAATGGACAATTTTTTTGGTCAAGAATGTATGCCCTAAACATATAACTAGGTGGGCATTCATCATTAATGGTCAACACTATTTGGTAGAATTTGCATGTGACCCGAATACTTTGTTGAAGATAATTGAGAGTTTTAATTAAAGTGCGCATTAAGAGAAATTCTATTTGGAATACTTTTTAAATCTATTGGACAAATTCCAGTTAAAATTCTATTTATAAATCTATTGGGAGTTAGAATTTGTATTAGACTTAAAGAAATCAATATAAGGAAACTTTTTGACATTCTATTTTACCTACAACACTACTTTTAGGACTTGAATTGCTCCTTATACATATTTTGCTCTTATTTACAATTTAGTTGGGTTGTTTAACATTATTACAAGTCAGAAATATTGTAAACACTTAATATTTGTTCTCTTTTTTCATATTATAATAAAATCTCAATCTTCTGCAAATTATATTACTCGTGTTCTTGATATCTTCACTTCTTATAATTGTCTAAATCTCTTATCTTTTCATAACAAATTGATGTCAAAATTGTTCCGCTTTCCATAAAGTGGTTACACATCTGGTCCAATTCATAACATTATCATTCTACTCTAAACTACCATTTAGAAAAATACTAATAAGTGTATTCAGAACCTCACATCATGCTAAAAAAAAATCACAATCTTCCCATTTTCCTATATCGTTCTTTAAGAGACGTTATTTATTACCCTATAAACAAAAAAATAAATCAATATTTAAATTTTGATAAAAGTTTATAAAATGTTGTGACCAAAAAGTCGATAAAAGATGTAGATCCTATAAAATGTGTGGTTGAAAATGAGTTTGGGAGAAAATTATTTTTTAGAAAATTGCAGCCAAACAGGGATTTACAATTTTAAATTCGTTAAAAGATTAAAAAAAAAAAGAAAATGCTAAAAATAGAAAGACAATTAACCCTGCTCGGTTTAGTTAAAAATTAGTTTTTTTTAAGCAAATTGAAATTGATGATATATATAACTGAAAAACTTATAAAGTTTTGGATTCCATAAAACGTATGATTGAAAATGCATTTCTGAAAATAAATTTGAAGAAAAATGAGTTTTAGAAAATGGGGAACAATAAGGGCCATTGGATATAAAGTTGTCGTATAAAATTTTGAAGAAAAATGAGTTTTAAAAAATGGGGAATAATAGCTATCCAGCAATAATAATTACCGTAAAATTTTCTATTAATTACATGCTAAAAGTGCATTGGAGAGGGATTTCCTTCCTAACAGATGAAAACTCATGCCACAAGTGTTAGAGCAATCTTATTTTATTATTCCTATACAGAGCAGAAATCTTAAAAATAAAACAGAAATCTCAAGTTACATATATAAAGATCATGGCATAAAAATCCGCAGCTGTAAAGAGACCTTTGGCATTTTTTATGGTTGAATGCATGGTGACGGCTATTGGGGAAATAACAATTTCATCTTTATTGTGACAAATACTTTTTATAAATAAACCTTGCATGGTAAATAAATAAATAAATAACAAAAATAAAAATACCTTGGAATACATAAATAATTTTCATTGCAAGGTTTTTTGTTCTTTTCTGTATAGAAGTTTTATAGCAAATATTTATAGTTCTTATTGACGGAATTTATGAGCAAATATTTATACCACCAATTTTTGGTAAAATGCAAAAGAAATAGAAGAAAACTGAAGAAATTTTAAAATTCTTAAAGGTTATCAACAAATTTGTAGTCGAATATACAAAATCTCTATATCCACTTAGTTCAATCTCGACACTAGATATTTCTGTGTTGAAGTGTGTTTAAATTCTTATAATTAAACACAACAACAGCAACAACAATAATAATATATATTTTTATTATTATTATAAATAAATAAAATTTGCAGCAAATTTTGAACCATTTATAATGACAAGTCTATTCTCTATTTACTGAACAACCTTGAAACTCCTAGAAAACTCAAAAGAAAGGGAAAACATCTGCAAAAATCTTGAAATTTTTTGAACTTGAATCAATGAGTAATGTTATTTAGCCCCCGTTTGGCCCCCATTAATTTAGATTATAATGGAGTAATAATATTTTTTTGAAAAATTGATGGTTGTAAAAGATGAAAAGTTTTCGATTTACGTGTAATATTATTTTATTGAAGATTGTGTGGTTGGCAATAGGAAAGAGAAAATTTTATTTTAATTTGATGAAATTTAATGGGGGCCAAACGGGACTTTAGTATTACTGGTATTTAACAACATTTTAGCTGACATCACTTATATCATTAAATTATAAGTTAAATTCAATACGATGATTTATAACTCATTTATTAGGATTTATGACTTGCGGGCACATTGATTGATGTTCAACCGAACTGGTGCTAAATAACATTATCACGTGTCAATAAATTTGGCGTCGACTATTTGAAACACCATATATCTCTATACTTAAGAGGCTTAAGACACTAATCGAACCCAAAACAAAGAGAAAAAAACATGCATGAAAGAGATACTTACTAGGTCAATCCAAGCAGCCAAAAACAGCAGAGCAAGTAGAAAGAAGGAGTAAACAAGAAGAGTGGATTTTGAACTAGCTTTCTTCTTCATTAATCTCCATTTTGATCCAAAAGAATGCCTCTGAAAAACAGGCCTTATCCAATATGTTTTCATTAATTTTTCTTCACTATTCCCTTTCATCCCTAGTTGTTTGCCAAACTATGCTCTACAAAAAAGGGTATATAATCACTTTTAGAGGGAGAAAGCTTGCTGGAATGTATACTTTTAGAGAGAGAGAGAGAGAGAGAGAGAGAGAGAGAGAGAGAGAGTAATCTTGACAAATTTGTAATGCCCTTCTTTCAGGAATACTGCTTCCAAGACACTTTATTTAAGTCAAGCTTTTCACGTCTTGGGTTAAATTAAATTAAATTAAATAAGATTTAATACAAGATCTACTCATCTTCCTTTCTTATATTATCGAAACGATTTAATTTGCATATTAATTGTGTTCGAATTGATTAAGAAATATGCTTCGATACACGTATGTAAATACATCTTATACTTAAAATTTTAGTAACAAAATATTGTTGTTTTTAATTTTTGCAAGAAGTATATAATTACAAGAAGATTTTTTTAATCCTTTTGCAATTATTATTCATATTGTCGTAATAATAGAAATTCTATAATAAGGGTTATAGAATTTATTATGGAAAACAAGTTTTTCTTTTCGCATTGTGAGTACTCTTCAATTCATTTCTCTCGTGATCTCTACCCATCGTTCTCAAGTTCAATAAAAAGCAATTCATGAGTTCTACGCAGAGTAACCTTAAAATCCTAGATTCCATAAAGTATCGACGAAAATTCATAGAGGGAATCTCTTCTCTCGTGAGCAACATGCATCTTGCGTTGCCTCGAATGAATGGAACTATATATATTCTCGATATATAACGTATTCACCTGAATTATTGGCTACCCAAAAGATGTGCATGATAAAAGTGCAATTCAAGTTAAAGTTAAGTTATTTAGCGTGGAAATGAAGGGTTAGCATATGAATTATATAAGTCCTTAGTCCTATGCATAATCACATGCGAAGTGTAGTATGAGAGAAGCAATAGTACGTGACATAAAAAGAGAGTAGTTTTTTTTTTTTCTGAATTAAAAATTGATTGTCCACATTCTACAAAAATTAAAAACTCTATTTGAGAAGTCAAAACATATTCAATTACAAGCACAACGAATAAACTTAAAAATATTAATGGAACGTAGAGTATGAATCAATCTTCTGAAAATAATATTAGACCAGTTGGAATAACCGAAATTGAGAGAGAAATGAACCAGTCACATATTGATTCTTCAAGAACCAATATGAATCAACTATCGTTCTTATAAATTTTGGTCCCATTTGGTAGGGATTTTGAGAATTGATTTTTTGACCGTTAGAAGAAAAGTGGGGTCTACATGTGAGAGAAGAAGTGAAAAATTACGGCTTGAATAGTAAAATAACGGTCAAAAAATCAATTTTTTGGGACAAAAAATCCCTACCAAACAGGGCCTTTATATATATTCACAATTTGAGCAAATTTTTAGTTATTTTAGTGTAAATATTATAATTATAAGTAAAATTCGGACTTGTAGGCATGCATTTGGAGCAAAAATGAAGTTTGAGCATAAATTGAGTTGGTTTGAAGCAATTTTTGTTAACAAGATTGCACGGCGTCAATAGAAAATATTAAGAGAGCAATCGAAGGAAATTAATGTACAAGTTTCGGGAGTGAAATTCAACTTATTGGAAGCTTGGGGATTGATTTACACACTTTCGAAACATGAGCATGTCCAATTCGGATGATTATGAATATTTGGGGACCAACATGAATGCTATTATTAGTTGCGGGATGAATATTGAAGATTTAGACAAAAATGACCGAAATCGTATAAAAAAATTTGAAGTAGGGATCTAAATATAAAAGTTTGAAAGTTGCAGGTCACATAAAAATATATTTACTGTTGTTTGACCGTAATATGCAAATCGCTGCTTGACCATGGCAAATCGTTAAGTATATTTTTCGAGTTTTGCTTTATTTCTGAGGTACTTTCATTTTTTCGAGGGCACATTTTTCAAAATGGTTTGAGCCTTATATAAAAACTTATATTAGGTCAAATAAGGAGGTTACATACTTTACACACAAGAGAAAGAGGAGAATATACAATGGAAGAGAAGAAAGAAAAGCTACGATTTCAAGAAGTTGGCATGAAGAAGGCGAATTCTTAATTTAAGGTCACCTAGTTCTCCTTTTCCTTTAAACCTAGTGATGTACTCTACAACATTTTGTATTTTTCTTTTCATTATGATTTGTAATAAAATCATTAGTTGGGACGAGCAATATAACCTAGTCTTGAACCTTCCATTTCAACCTCAAAATTCTCATATTTTAATTGTTTCATATATTGATTTTGTTTCTATTCTTCATTCTTTGAAATAATTGTCCATCATTTCATTAATTTATGAATTTGTAACAAATCGAGAGGTATGTTATAGATTTAAATCATATAGATCTCAAAATTGGATAAATTGTAGGCCGTTAATTGAATTCCTAGATGATTTAATACGTTTAGTTTAGGCTTATTCGAATTCATGTATAGATAGAGTTGACTCAATTAGATATAATTGATTTGTAACTGAGAAATGTATATTGATTTAATTAGTGAATTTGATAAGTCCAACTTTAGAAATTGAACTGGAGAGGCGAGATTAAATAGGATAACTACGATGATATCTTGAGTCGCAACGTGTTAACCATCCTATTGAATTGTTTATCCGCAACCCAAGCAAAAGACGTTCTTTTATATATATATATATATATATATATTAACTTTATTGAAACATTGACATCAAGGTCTATCTACTTCAAAATAGGAGTTAGAATTAGTTAGATTAATCATTAAATATATAGTTCTGGTGAAAACAATAATTCGATATCTTTAGGTTCATTTTTCTACTAGCTTAATTGACACAATAAACTTATGACTACAGCACAAGAAGTTTTTGGTGTTCGTGTTGCGGAATTTTTTTTTATTTAAATTATTTCTAGCTTTTGTTTGATTTCTTTATTTTTTTTTCTTTTTAGCTAATCTACTTATTTTTCTTGATTTAATTGTCGACAGAGAATGAAAAAAGCAAGAGACCAGAAAAAATGAGATGAGAGATCCCGACATTAATGATGCTGACTTGCTTGTGAGAGATGTCATCGTCATGACAAGATATGATTCACGTGCAGAAATTGATGAGCACGATGTGTTTTTGGGATATTTCTCTGTCAAGCAACGAACTAATATAAAGCGAAATATGATGCAATCGCAAAATTTGATGTTGGTGACATGCTTGTGGGAAAGTTTCTTCTCCATGGCATGATATGATCCATGCGCAGAAATTGATGTCATGCTCATGGGAGATTTCTTTGTCAAGCAACGAGTTTAATATGGCTAAATTTAATGCATTTGCCGAACTTGATGAGGGTAATTTGCATGTGGGACTACTCTCCCAAAACCAGAAATTAATGAGGGTGACCTACCCGTGGGATTTTTTTTTTTTTTTAATTTTTTTTTCTAGCAGTCATTAGCAAGCATGAATTGTTAGGAGAATTATGGGAATCACCTCTACCTAGCTTACAACAACCACAACAAGAGAGGAAGACTTCCATTAAAATGTCCTTGTACACTTGTGCGAGATATTAGATGATAGTCCGATCGTCCAACCAGAGGAAACACCAACTATACTAAAGAAGAAGATCATATGGAAATGAGGAGTTTATCCTAATGTTAGAAAAAACAAAGAGTGCAGTCAATGAAGTTCAACGTATCATGTAATACTTCGACGCAATGAGTGCTCTAAAGTTGATTTTGTGATTAAAGTTGATGAAAAAATTGAATTATGCACAGTTGACATCGAGTCAAGGTTATGGGCAAGTCATATTATTTTAAGAAGGACAAAGTCAAATTTTAGAGGATAAGCAAAAAAAATAAAAAATAATAATAATAAATAAATAAATAAAAATGGTGCAAAGTCAACAAATGCAAGCTAAGCAAACCTTCAGAACCTTATTCCAATTCTCGTGAAAATATTAATATTATTGCAAAAAAAATTGAGGTTCTATAGATGGGAGGCAACAGATATTGTGTTCTTTTTCATATTTTATTCGCATCAGTCAGATTATATTGCATTCGGGAGTAGATTTGCATTTGGATTTAATAAACAGAAATATAATAACAATGATATAAAAGTAAAATTAAAATTGAAAATAAAAATTTACTAAAGTTATTGTTAGACAATTTGTTGTCAAACGACCTTCCGGGCTATGATGTAACCCCGATTCTATTATCAATCGGCTTTGGTCATATGATTGATTAGTATATTGACACAATTATCGAGACAACCCAATCCACATTCCTATGGATCTTTAGAAGCAACCTATTGTTAATAGTGTTGCTCACGGCTCGTCCCATTTCCTTGGAGGGCTATGATATTAATTTGAAGCTCATTATTTTTGAGTCGAGCCTTGTTTGGTCCACTAAATAACCCTAACCTAACTTACCTTGTTTGGTTATTTGCTTGGCTTATATTCTTGGCCTTCTTCTCGGCCTCCATATGAAGAATGCCCAACCTCTCTCTGTGATACTCTCCTCTCAATTTCTCCTCTTCTATGTGATCCTTGTGGTTCATTTCAAGTTGACATATTATTGTTTTTCATCTTGTCCAACTAATAGCAACCGGAAGTGGGAACTTGGTGGTGGTGGTTTGGAGTTGTCTCAACCTGTTGGCGGTGTCGACTTTCTTGGTGAAACTGAGCCCAGATTACCTTGGTGTTTGCTGGAATTTGGCCCTACAGTTATTTTAGTAAAGGTCTAGTCTAAGGTCTTTAAACAGGTTACACAAGTCATTGGCCTAAGAAGCTGCATAAAAATCACATTTTACACATCATTCCCCCGCATTCTTGAAATCACTCTTTATTGTAGGCGAGTCATAAAAGTTAATTAATCTAAACTATCTTGTGATTTCAACTGGATGCTTTATAGCTAATTATGTTTATGTACATTTTCGATATAATTGAAACAACCATGCTTGGGGTACATTGTGGTATCCAACATGATGTTCAAAATGGACACTCGATACCTCGACATTGGTCGAGGTGCCTGCCACGCCGGGGCCCACCGGCACTTCGGCCAATATCGAGGTGTCGGTTGTCCATTTTGGACACCATGTTGGACACCACAATATACCAAGAGCATGATCCTAATTGAAATATTCGGAAAAA